CCATGATCAAAATTTCGTTTTTCATCAAGTTTAGCTGATATACCATTTTGTTCAAGTAATGTTTTGACACGTTTTGATAAATTTATATCACCTGGTGGTTTATATTGGATATTATAAGCTTCTTTTGGAAATCCACCAAAATCATAAAGAAGTTCAGTATGTTTTTCCTGTGCACTTATATGCACACTATTTGCTGTTTCCCAATGTGCTGTTATAATAAGAATTGCTTTTGGTACTGATGGTAAAGCTAATTGTTTAGATAATTGACGATACCATTTAGCTGCTGGACTATTTCGATCGACTTCACCTAGAACTGGTATTGGTGGTGAATCGAGAAACATCATCGGACCACTAAAAATAATAAAACAAAACGTTTAATGTTTTTAAAAACAATCTAAATTTTTTCTTACGCTCCATGTGTAACAAAAAGAACAGGAAAATTATTTGTAGACATTATTGTCTCGTGATGATTCCAATATTGAATATATGTCACATTACAAAAAATTATAAGTATTTGTAGAAAAAATTTTATTGTTGTGTAAGCATGATAATGCATGTACGTAGACCGTACTTTAATGTTGGGAGCATGACGAAGCAAAAATTATAAAAACTGTCAAGAACGCTGTCATAGTTGTAAAAGGACAGGAGAAAATAATAATGTACGTTTTGATTTTCAATAGATGACAGTGGCAATCAGTCTCAATAAACTTTTATATCGTCTTTAATCAATTGAGACTATATATAATACATATTGGTGACATTTGTTTTGTGACAGTTGAAGCATCATCATTTTATCGACTATCTCATGAAACAAATTGTGAGACATTCATTTTCTTAATGGATGTATTGATAAGAGGCTTTAATAGTTCAAAATCTTGCAGACATATTTTTACAAAAAAGCATGTTTACGATGGTATTTTACTATTAATCTTGCGAAATTTACTTTGACAAGTTTTCACTCTATTATAACCAAATAAAAACTAATGAGTTACAGTTTGGAACTTCTTTTTGCCATTGGAAATAATATATGCATTATTAAATGTTTGAATATATTTTTAGTAAAGAGTAAATTAATTTTTATATTGGAAATAATATTTCGAGAGATAGTATTATAATGAACGGAAAACATTTATTTTGTTTTAACTTTCATTAATACACAAGAAGAAAAACTGAGTCATAAATAATGAAAGTTTATACCATTCTTCAGTTATGTATAAAAATGATGATTTACATTAATTCCTAATCATGTCTAAACTAGAGTAGAGTTTTAACTATTAATAAAGAAATCTTTTATGATACTAAAAGTTATATTGTACTGCAGTTTTATTCACAAATATCAGTTACAGACAACGATTTCAAGTTCTATAAAATACCGATCAATTTAACGATAGATTCTATCAAAAAATACTGAAATTTTGTAAGTAGATGAATCTGATCCGATACTTGGTATAGACGAAACGTCAGATCAACACGTAAATTGTTGATTTTACTAAAACAATTTGAGCCCTACAGGAGAATCATAATAAAAACTTGATATCTAAGATTAATATCCGCTATATTCATATGACTTTAAGACTTTTTTAATCAATCCATTCTCTACTTGTAGGTAACATATAAAGTGATATTCTCATAAATAATTGAATTGAATATCATCGCCGAATAAATTGTTTTAATAATTTGACTTATTTCATATTCATCGATCATTTATAATATCTTATTATAAACGAAAAATCAATCTCATATTCACAATTCAAAAAGTACCCAAAATCGCAATACCAATTATATTTAATATCAAATCTCTGAAGGTTCTCGTATTGCTTCTCAATAAAATATTCTACTAGATATATCAATTAATTAAATTATAATAGAGATACATTAGTATTTGAATCATATGAGAATAATAGAGAATTTTTTTCTTATATGATTAATAAATATAATAAGAACAAAACATGTTATTTCTTCTTCATTTGGATTTTCTACACGTACATATCGATATATTCGATTTTCTTCGAGTTATATACATTTAATCGTATAATCTTAATTTATATTAACAAAGATAAATCAGTTAGTGTAAGTATTTTAATTTAAAATCTTTTTCAAATTAAATTTATATTTAATACAATAGAAACAAGTTTTTTTTTATATTTTAAATAAATATACGACATTTAGAGACGGATGTTATTCTATATTCTCACCACACCAGACCTTAGCATTTCCTTTACAGAAGAAAAAAAACAATCAAGCGTCTTTTGAAAACCAACATTTTTCTTTTTTTTTCTTCTTTTTCTACTGAATTCATTTCATTAGTGTTCGTATAAGAGTTAAAACATTTCTTTTTCATTACTTCTATTCAATTAATATTTTCTGTATTTGAGAAAAAAAGAAATTATATATAAACAATCTTTATTATTCAAAAAAATAATGATAAATAACACAACTTCATCTGCATCAATCTATGGATATATGAATTGTTCTATAACAAATGGTATTATACGATATTTTGGTACATTTATTTTTCTTATTGGAATATTTTCAACTATATTGAGTATTTGTGTATTTGCAAGAAAACCTCTTCGTAAGTTTTTTCATGATTATTTTATTGTAATTTTTCAAAAGATTTTTTGATTGAATAGGACGGAAATCATGTTGCTTTTATTTTTTAATATTAGCAATTAGTGATTCAATACATTTACTAACAATGACTATTGAACATCTACCATACAGTTTTAATATAGATTTAATTATTATTCATACAAGTCTTTGTAAAATAACAATATTTCTTATTTATTTTTCAAATCATCTATCAAATATTGTACTTACATTGGCATCAGTGTAAGTTATTAGAATTTATAAGATTAAATAAAATGAATAAATAAAAGTATTTGTCAGTATTATGGATTAATTATAAAAAATACTTTTTGAACTAAAATTTAATACTTGATTCTTTTCTAAAGTGAGAATTTTTTATATTGACGATAAACAAAACTTCATCAGTTAAAAGTGTAGAATAATATATTTTACATAACTAATCATTTTAAGTTTTTGAAAATGTACCTTGTATTTATTGTTGAAAAACTAATTAGTCAGACACCAACATATGGAAGATGAAATTATTAATATAATCAGTCTATATTAAATAAATGTCTTTTATTTAGTGATAGATTTATATTGATTTATTGTCCATCACGTTCAAAACATTATTGTAATGTTAATCGAGCCAAACGTTTTGTTCTTATTGCTGTTATTATTCTATTTATCGCTAATGGACATATATTGTTTGGTTATGAAAAAATTCAATTAGATGATAAACCATTGAATGTATCATATGATTGTAATATACGAAGAGAAAATATTTTCTATAATAAATTCTTTCATTTCTATGATTCATATATTGAATCAATATTTTTTATTATTATTCCATTTATCATTATGTTTATTTGTTCAATATTAATTATATTTCAAATATTTGAAACACGAAAAAATTTACGATACAATACAACTGGTAAGTTTTATTATTATACATTTTATACAAGTGAAACAATTCGACAAACAGTTAGGAAAACATTTCAAGAACAAGGAACAACAAAATTACGTGATAAAGATATTCAATTATGTTTTATGTTAATTGGAACAACACTTGCATTTCTTGTATTTTGTTTACCAACTGAAATCAATGATATTCTTATTTATACTGATCGAGAACATTCTTGTTCAACTTGGTTTCGAAAAGTTCTATTAATGTTAATGCAACAAATATATTATGCCGGACATTTTTATATTTATACATTAACAGGACAAGTATTTCGAAAACATTTATATGCAATGTTTGTTAATAAACAAAATCAATCGATTTCAACAAGATTTTTTTCGAAATTTAATCGATTAAAAAATCAATCAACAATTCGAGATCAAAATGAAAAATCGAAATCATCACTTCGAACAACTAGTTTTATAAATATTAAAACACATCGACCAACAACAAAAAAAGTTCTAACAAATGATTTAAATGATCCATCACAAAAACTTCTTTCGAATTCAAAATATATCATAGGATCATATTAGGCGCTAGTTATTTTTCGTTGTAATTCGTTTGTACGTAACTTGTTTTATAAAAAAAATATGACAACATCTTTTTCAAGAGATGATTTTAATTCTTTAATAAATGAACTTGAAAATACGATGCAACGATCACAAATACTTGTATCTCAAACTAATCATATCAATACATTACAAACAAAACAAATAGGTTTGTTCACTTTCCCGTAGAGAAGAGTCGAGTAAACATAAATTGTCTGATTGATTGCTTGTGTGTCCGCAGGGTCAAAAAAAACGTCGGAGACCGATTTTCGAGAAAAGACATTTCTAGTGGTAATTCGATGCGGGGAGTTCGAATCTGAGGTCTGTTGGGTGATCATGATGAAGGGGGAGGGTAAAGAGAATGCATAGGTCAAAAAAACATCGAAAACCTATTTTCCATGATTTTCAATTGTTTTTGTAGTAAATGTGAAGAGGATGCATTTCTACGAGAGAGAGCTAAGCGAGTCCTCGGCCGAGCGTTAGTTGCTTAAATAAAAAGTAAATTAATCTATTCGATCGACAAATTAAATACAAAAATTTTGTTTTAGATCAAAGTCAAATGACAATGGATAAATCAAGTCAACATCTTAGAAATGTTGAACGTGAAGTAGATGAATTAGAAAAGAATTTTTGTGTTCGTTTATGTTGTTCATCAAAAACTAAAAAATCTAAATTAAAAAAATCTGAAGAATATCAATCCAATGAAAATATCATTCCGATTGAACAAAATCCTATCTATTCAAATCAACAATTTCAAAATTTAGATGAAAATTTACAACGTTTACAATATTTTAATACATTAATCGATAATGAAATTCAAGATCAATTACAAACATTAGTTTGCTTGATTTTTTTTCCTTCCGCGAAATAACCCAAATTTTCTATTTTAGAGTAATCTTAATAATCAAGTCAATGTTGATACAAATAAATTAACAAAAACTAATTATAAAAGCAAACGTTTATTTTAAGTGTTACTATTTTACCTATTCTATGTTATGTTTTAAATTAATATATGACGTTGATAAATTTATTTAACAAGTTATGATATGTTTGAAAAAAGTACCCATGGATCTACCCTCGCCTGCCATCAAATATTTACATAGATTACTAAAAATAGATGCATAATGATAGTTATGTGAAAGTTATTAGTTTTTACGGAGAAAAAAACGTCTCTGCTGAGTTAATTATAAATTACTTTCAGTCTATAGACTCTATTGTTTGTGCTGTATGTAATTATTAAGAAAATTGTTCTATTATTTCTTTTGCATTAACTCAAAAAATAGAATTATTTTAATTACTTGTATCATTTTTTGATTTTTATCTTTATTTTAATTAAAATGTATATAAAACAATAATAGAAGATAATGCGTATATTTTTTTTATGAGATAAATTATCGAAAAAAAAACAAGAATAACAAAAAGATTGATTAGGATATAATTGAAAAATAAAATATTCATTTTACTGAATGTCATATCGATTTATAATCAAGGAAAAAATCTCGATAGACATTTTTTTAAAAGCATTGGATTTATTTAAACATTTCGTCATCTGAATCATCTGGATTTGTCATTAATGGAATGTTTTCATTGAATTTATATCTTGGAGCTGCAGTTGTTTGGGTATTGGTTGCTAGTGCAGGAATGTCTTGAACAGATGGACGAGCTGATTGAAATAATTCGTCATCATCATCTTCTTCTTCTATAGAAAATAAAATAGAATAGTAGTGAAAAGAAATAAGAAAGTATTTTACCATTATCACTTGAAGGTTTTTCTTCGGGTATTTCTATTTCTGGTGGTGATTCTTTATCATTTTGTTCAACTGTATCAGCACTACCATCACTATCATGTTCTTGTTCGACAGTTTTCAATGGTGAAGTTGCTTCATTATTCTCAATAGTAGAATCTAATGGTGACGTTGTTTCTGTGTCATTGACTAAAAATGTAACATAGAAATAATTATATAGGATTTTTAATTTTTAATACGATAGAAATAAGTAGAATAGGTTCTTTATCTATAACTGTCTAGAAAAGATTTCAATAGACATACTCTTCTATGAAAATGAAGAATGTCTAAGAACATTTTCATATATCTCGCTCATTAAAAGAACAATGACTTTTTTTCGAAGCCTCTTAAATTCATCTCTTAATAACCTGATGAAGTTGTATCTTCTGATACTAAAACCATTTGACTTTGTTCAAGTGTTTCTTCCGATTGTGGTTTTTCTTCTTGTTGAAAATCATCAACCGTATCCCACCCATTTTTTTGACTATTTCCTGATGTTGTATCAGATTCTATTGATTGAATATTTTCATTTTCATTTATTGTTACTGATGTAATTTCTTCATTTAATGTAACTTGATCAACTGAATCACCATTTGATGGTTGATCATTTTTTTCAATATTATCTGTTGTTTGAACTTGATCATTTTCAACATCGGATTCTATATCATCGGATGATGGTTCATTATCATTATCATTATCATCATTTGATATAACTTTTAATGTTGCTTTTTTAATAATTTCAAGTGAACGAGAAAGAAATTCTTCACCACTATATTGTTTTGTTGGGCGAATACGAGTTTTTAAACGTTGAAAAATAATATTAATAGCACGTTTAACTTGTTCATTGATTAATTGTGGTTGTTCATCATTCATTTCAATGATTTTTTCTTTCATTGATACAAGTCGTTCTTGAAGTTTTTCAAACTAAATCAAAAAATGAAAATAAATATAAAAATTAAATTTTGTTCTATATTTACTCGTTCTTCGTAAGCTTCGATTTGTTGTTTTGATTCATTTAATTCTTCATTTGCTTGTGTTAACTAAATAAAAAGAAGAAAATTCAAAAATAATTATTATATTTGACTAACTTTATTTCCATTTTCATCAAATAACGTTTTCAATTGTTCGAATTCTTTTCCTTTTAATGCTAATAAACGTTCATTTTGTGTTTGTTGTCGATCAAGTTTTTCTTGCCATTCTCGTTCTAAATCTTGTTCAATTCGACTTATCTATTCAAAACAAAATTTTGTTTATATTTTTTCAATGAATAAAATCAAATTAAAAATAACTAACTTCTTGATTACTTGTTAAACTATCATTTGTTCGTTGTTTACGTAGTTTCGCTCGTAATTCATCTAATTCACTTTCATAGGTTGTTTTTTGTTCATCTACATCATCTTGCCATCGTTTGCGTTCATTTTCATATTTTAATTTTCGTTCATTGTTTGCCTATTAAAATAAAAAATTTTGTTTTGGCATTTTTGAGAAAGAATAGATCGAAGCATTCGAGTTCAAATTGTTTTAACTTACTAAGAAAACCTTAAAAATATTCGTATCTATGACGTTCCCTTCTCTCTATAATATGAGCAAATTTATATCTAAAAGACTAGATACTTTTTAATCCAACTGAGTGACGTTCTGAGATTTCGATATATTTAATATTTAAAGCTTTTACAAAGAAAGAAGAAATTAGTATTGCAAAGCTTATTATAGAAAGCTTCTTATATTGATACTAACTTGATTCTTTCTTGATAAGAAACAAATAGGATGTTTTCTTAATCTCAACAAAAACCACTTATGACGAAAAGAATAAGATAAATGTTAATGTAAGTTATTCCTGAATAGATCAATAATTCTAAAGCTACTATTAGTAATATTAAATACAAGCGAAAGATAAATAAGTAATATCTTTTATCTATCAATTTACTAATAAAGATGTACAATGGTTATAGAATTTCTTTTGATTTAATAATACTCATATAATAATAAGTAGTTTTGTTTTCATAGCATTATTCCTAAACTATTTAAATAAAGCAATAATCAACAACTTTACCCGCTAAACATTAATGTTTTCCTATTATTTCTAATAAATAATGTCATTGAAATGATTTCTATTTGTATTTACCTTTTCTAAATTTGCACAAGTAATTTTGAGTTCAGCTAATTCTTCTTCAAGTGTATTTAAATTTGTTTGTAATTGTTTTTTAGTCGATTTATCATTTTTTAATTGTTCTTCAAATGTATCAAATTTCATTTGCATTTCTGATCGTTGATTTTCCGATTTTTGTAAATCATCTTTATATTGTTCACATTTATGTAATAATGTACTTAAACGTGATTGATTTTCATTAATATCTTGTGTATATTGATTGATTTGTAATTGTAAATCAGCTATTTTACTTGTTGATATACTTAAATTGTTTGTTAATTCAACTTTTTGTTTTTCTAAATCAAGAATTTTTTGTGCAGTTTGTTCTGATACATTATTAACAACAACATTTCGTTGTTCAAATGTCTGATGACTCTGTTCAATTAATCTATATTATTATTATAAAGAATATTAATTTTTAATTTCAAAAGAACAAATAAAATTTACTTTTGATTTCGATCAAGTAATTCTGATATTTTAAGATTAAGTTCTTCAACTTTTGCACTTCGATCAAATAAATCTTTTTTCATTGTATCATTTTCCTAGAAAGATTTTTTACAAAATAAAATTAATCTTAAAAAGAAAAATAATATACTTTAACAATTCGTTGAATATTTCCAAGAACAATGCTTGTTTCCATATTTGGATATGATGTAGAATTTTTTGTATCAAACTAAATTATAATATTTAGAATTTAACAGAAACAAAAAACAAATCAATTATACTTTTTCATTTAATACATCAACTTTTTCAGTTAATCGATTGAGTAATTGACGAAAATCATTTTGAAAAGGTTGTTGTTGTTGCTGTTGTTGATAAAACATATCCGTTAGTGGCACTATAATTGAGTTAATCATTATGAATATATTTGAAATATCTATTTACTATTAGGTGAAGTTTGTGGATATTGCGAAGGAGGCCACATTGATAATTGTTGATAACCACCCATTCCAGGCATTACCCCCATTGATGATGCTTTTTAAATATAATATTAATATGAAATTTTATTCTATTCCAAATATTTACCTGGTCGATTATTGTAATCATGTATTGGTGGTTGTTGTGGTGTATACATATTTGATTGTTGTAGTAAATGTTGAGCTTGAGGATGATGATGTGGATGATATGCTGGTTGTACAAATTGAACTGGTGGTACTGGTGTTGTAATCTTCAAAGAAAATAGTTTATAGAAAAATCAATCAATAAATAATAACGTACAGATCTTGGTGGTACAATAACATTTTGTATAAATTCATTATTAATTGAATCATCATCACTAAATGATGTCAAATTAGGAGGCATTGGAGCTGCAAATGCACTTGTTTGATTTTGATTTTGATTTGGAAGCATTGAAACTCCACCCATTCTATTAATTCGTTGTAACATTTTATTTTTTTCGCTACTATTCTTTAAATTAAATTAAAAAAAATAAAAGTCAAAAAAAACAATATATAATTTCATTGACATAAATAACCTCATTATCTTCTGTTATTGTACGTTTTCGTTCAACTGTTGGTGGTGGTAGTTGTTGTGGTGGTAATTGTGGTTCTTCAGCAGGCGTTGTTACTGAATTAGCACGTGCATCTTTTTCTCGTTTAATCTAATTAATAAAAAATACGAAAAAGGAAAATAACAAATGATGATCTAAAATGGAACATACACGAGTAACTTCTATATTATAAAATACATTTCCGATCATTGCTACACGTTGTCCATTTTTTTTCATTCCACGAAGAGAATCATCAAATGCCTAAAAAGAATTTTATTCGTAATTATTTCTTTACTGGAAATTTACTTTGCCATTTTGTTGTTTACCAATTTTAAATTTCACTGGTTTAGTTTCTCCATTCTAATAAAAAATATGATAAATTTTTAATTAGAAAAAAAAACAAATTTACATCAGCCGGTGAAATTGTTCCATTTTCAAGTAGTTTCTGCATATTAACAGTTATTTCTGCACTATCTTGATCGACTAAAGCCGAACCTTCACCTTCTCGAATATCTTGTATAATATGATCGAATTTAAATGCAAATAAATAAGCTTTCGCTAGAAGAAACTAAATTAAATAAAAACAAATTTTTGAAAATAAAATAAAGATTTCTGTTAATAACTTGTAGAATAAAATCAACAAGTGCTTGTTTATTATCAAACATAATCGACCAATTTTGTGCACTATCATCTTGAAATGATAAATAATTATTTGGTTGAGACTAAAAAATTCATTTTAATAATAGAATGAAAATTAATAAAATAAATTTACAGTTAAAATAGTTGTAGTCATTATACGAGCTGATGTAATATGTTGAGTTTTTGTTAAATATAAAATAAGTTGAAAAACTGTATTATCAGTTGATAATAAAGCTACGCCCATTTTTCCTCGTGGTGTCCATTTTTGATCAGCACCACTGAAATATTTCAAAATAGAATTGAAAATAATGTATGAAACAAAATAATATACAGTGAAAATGCTTGAACAGCAGTTGCTATCATTATCTTTGGTGGAGAATCTATTAACAATAGAAAACAAAATGAATCATATGATCTTGTTCTTTATTTGTCGACAAATACCTTTTTTAGGTTGTTTAGGTGGAACGTAAGCAGCTGTTGATGCTACGACTGTCGCTGCAGGGTCCCCACCATGAAATAGTGAAGCCAAATTTTTTGAACTAATTTATTAAAAAAATTCATAAAAAAATTAAAATGATTTTATTAATAAAATTTTAAAACCTTTGATTAGTCGACGTAAAGTCGAGATCATCATCGTCACTCATCATGTAGATCTGCAAAAAAATAAAGACAAACAAAAAGTATCCATGCTCACCTTCATTCGTTTCTTATCTATTTTTCTCTCTCGCACTTATAACTTGTTGTTCTCTTCAGTAGAAAAATTTCATCTCCGGATTTGTTTATTCAACAAAAGTCCAAATATGAGAATAGACATACGAGTAAATGCAAGATACGCAATTAGAAAAGGAAAAGGAATACAACAGATAGAACAAAAAAAAACAACTTGTTTGTTAAAAATGGATGTTTTTTTTTTCTTCTGCTCGATTGTTTCGGATTTATTTGAAATATCAAAAAACAAAAAAAAGAGAAAAAGAAAAAAAAACGTTCTTGTTTTATTTATTTTTCTTATTGAGATCTACATGTGTGAACACCTGGTTGACCACCTTCTTCATCGGAATCGCCAGCATCATAAGCTTCACGACGAGTACCTTGTCGATCACTATGTGCAGATTTTGTTGTATGAAAATCTATCATATGTGCGTCTTCGACATGTTCACCTTTTGGAATGTCGACATGTGGACGTTTTGGTAAAAGTGCTTCAAGTTGCTGCAAAAAAACAAAATAAAATAAAATTCATAATTATATATATTTCATTGAAATTAACCTTAAATATTTGAGGATCAAGTTGAGATTTATCCGAAGGAAATTCGACATCAAATTGAACAATTAAATCTCCTGTATCATGAGTTCGCATATTAACCATCCCTTGTCCTTTTACACATCGATATGTTTCTATAGAAATAAAAAACAAGTTTTGTTTTTCTTTTTTTTTGTCAAATCAAGTTAATATACCCGGTGCAATTGGATCACTTGCTGGATGTTTTAAAACAATTTTTCTTCCATCTAAATGTGTTATAACCAGTTGAAAGCCACATAATGATTCAACTAAATTGATTTTATGTTTCATAACGAGATTATCTCCATTACGTTGGAAAACAGCATGAGGTTCTTGTTGTAAAACAACAATAACATCTCCAGGTTCCATATTTGGTGCTTGATCACTTTCACCTGGAAAACGAAGTTGTTGTTCATGTTTACTACCTAAAATAAAATATAATTGTTTCTGTTAAATTCTATTCAATTAAATCTAACCAGGTGATATAACAACTTCAAGTTTTTTCTTTTGATCTATTGTCTTTTTACCATGACAGGTTTTACAACGGTCACGTTCATTGATTATTTCACCTATAGAAAATCATATTTTTATTAAATTTAATTCAATTGATAGATTATTCTATTTTTACCTTCTCCACTACAATCTTTGCATACTTGTTGCATTCGTTGCATCATATTTGGACCTATTTGTCTTGTAACTATTTGAATACCATGACCGCGACATGTTGTACATGATTGTTTAGCACCATCGCGACCACCAACTCTAGAAATTGATTTTCATTATTATAAAAATAAATATTTTGTTTCTCTTACCCTTTACATGTTTCACAAAGAGCTTTACGAGAGATTTCAAGTGAACGTGTAACACCTTTATATAATTGTTCGAGTGTTACTCTATATTAAGAATTAATATTGAGTTAAAATAAAAATTAAAAATAAATATTTACTTGAGTGGATGTGCAACATCTTCACCTTTACGACGTCGGTTTCGGCCTCCTCCTCCTCCGCCTCCACCCATGGAATGTCCAAATAAATTACCGAATGGGTGACCACCGAAAGGATGACCACCTCCACCAAAAGGTGATTCACCACCACCACCAAAAAATTGTCCGAGAATATCTGCCATACTACCTATAAAAAAATAATTCATTCATATTTAATATATTTTGCTAGTACTCAAAAAAAAACTCTGTATTTTAAGATCGTTTTTAAAACAAAATAACTAACCTCCACCATGACCGCCGCCGCCACCACCTTCCTTAAGTCCTTCTAATCCATATGAACTATAAAACATCAATAAATATTATTTTATTTCAATGAAAATAATAAGATCATACTCATAAACACGTCTTTTATTTTCATCAGTTAATACTTGGTATGCAAATGAAATTTCTTTGAACTAAAATAAATTAATAAAAATCAATGAAATATATATATATTATTTTAAATGTTAACCTTTTCAGCTGATTCAGGATTTTTATCTGGATGATGTGTTTTAGCAAGTTTATGATATGCCTAAAAATAATTTTAAAATATTTTTCTTTTTATCTTAATATTTTTAAACAAACTCTTTTTATTTCTTGATCATTTGCATTTCGTTGTACACCAAGTATATCATATAATTTTGAATCCGGCATGGTTGTTTAAAGTATATGGATTTCTCTGACAATCTACAAAACACATGAAAATCTTCATTTATTTATTTTTTCTCAATAAAATAGAAAAATATTTTATTAAGAAATAAAATAAAATTTAAAAAAGCAAAGATTTTTTAATGTGTTTGACATGAATGAACTTGTGGTTGTCCATCTTCATCTTCATCGTCGTCATCATTATCATCACCATCATCATCAGTATACTGGTCATCATCATCATTATTATTATCATCTTCATTACTTTCATCACCAATTTTATGTGAAGAACGATGTTTATTCGTATTCGATTCTTTTTTATGATCAATCATTGATGATGATTCATCAAGAATTATTCCTGATGGAATATCTAATTCTGGTTTAGATGGTAATAAACTTTCTAATTTCTAGACAAGAAAAAAGAAAAACATATTTTTTTAAAAAATAAGAAATTTTGTTTTTTCTATACCTGAAGAATATTTGTATCATTAAAAAAATTCATTGATGGAAATTCCACATCAAATTGAATGATTAAATCACCTGTATGATGAGTTTCCATACTATTCATACCTTGATTTACAATTTTTTTCATTGAATCTATTTATATTTTTTTTTGAAAAATAACTGAAAAGAATTTTTGATTAAATAACATACTTGGTGCAATTGGTTGATCAGCTGGATGTTGAATAAGTACATGTCGTCCATCAAGATGTTGAATACTTCGTTTAAAACCCGTTAATGATTCATTTAAATTTATTTTTAATTTAATTAAAAGATCATTTTCATTAATACGTTCAAATACTGAATGTTTTTCTTGTTCAATTAAAATAAAAACATCACCTGCTTCAACATTTGGCTAAAAATAAATTTCTATATATATAATCTTAGAAATTATTATTTCCGATTCATACTAATTGATCATTTTCTCCACGAAATTTTATTTTTTTTCCATTTGCACATCCTGGTAAAATAACAACATCAAGATTTTTAGTTTCTTCGATTATTTTATTGCCGTGACATGCATGACATTTATCTTTATTTGCAATTATTTCACCTATAACAATTAATAATTAAAAAAAGATATGTTTTTATTTTTTTAAATTTTACCCTCTCCATCGCATTCTCGACATTGTACTGGTTGTTGAAATGTTAAAGGGCCCATACGAGTCATTCCCATACAAACACCTAAATAGTTCTCAGGTTCAAATAAGAATAAGAAATACACAAAAACTTTACCTTGACCATGACAAGTACGACAATGTACTCGTTTTTTACCTTCTTTACAACCTGATCTAAATAATAAACAAGAATAAATTCATATAGAAACGCCAAAAAAAGTATTTCATACCCGTTACATTGTTTACATGATACACGACGTTGAAATGATATAGATTTTGTTTCACCATTATATATAGTTTCTAGACTAACTCTACAATATATATGAAATCAATGATATTTATATGTTAGTGATGATATGATTAATCTACTTCAATGGAATCACTTTTGATTCACCTTTTGGTTTACCATGTTGTTTATGATGATGTCTACTAGATCCACCCATGAATAAATCAAATAAACTAGTTGCACCTATATATATTATAAAATGAATGATTAAACATTAAAATCAACATCTACTAAAGTCATTACCTTCAGCGCCCATGCCTTCTTTAAGACCGTCAAGTCCATATTGATCATAGACTTCTTTTTTATGTTCATCTTTTAAAACATCGTAAGCAGCTGAAATTTCTTTGAATTTTTCTGGTGGTGCATCAGGATTTCGATCTAAAATTTTATTTATAAAAATTTACTTTATTTTATATATTTCTACCAGGATGATATTTCATAGCAGCCATTTTATATGCCTAAAATATGTGCGTTGAATGCAAATGAAACGATATTATTTTTTACTTTAGCAATTTGAGCATTTGTTGCATCTGGTGAAACTTCAAGTAAATCATATAATTTTGTATCACGTTTTTTCGATCGTGGCACAGGCATTGTTTATTTGAAAAATCAGGTGAAATCTAGAAAAAAATATTTATGAGACACAATTCGAATGATGCAAGTTAACTACGGACACAACAACCCATACAGGAAGCGTAAAATACAGAACGAATCAAGGTGAAGTATAGTTTAAATATATTTTGCCCGTTGATTTTAACGAGAAAAAGAGACAGAAGTAAATCATCTGTTAAAATGGTAAAATACGGAATGTATCATTTGATCGATTTTATATCTATTGAAAGTATTTTCAATGAAATAAACAAGTTTTATTGAATGGTATTAAGAAGTTTCAAATCATTATTTGGATAAAATCATAGAGAGGTCAATGAGAAAGATAAATGGTGATATGTAACCAATAGGAAAATTCCTTGTTAATAAAACAAAAGAAAAAGTTCTTAAATCTTGTAATAAAATAAATGAAGTTATATATCATGACAACATAAACATAATCTTTTATTTAAATACTGAAGAAAATCATCTCGATGTAATTTTTTTCACATTGATTAACTAAGAATATATTTGAACATATATCATTCACAAAAAAAAGAAAAGAAAACAACAAAAAAAACGAATTTAAGGTGATGTTATAGGTGTCATTCCATCAGTTGTTATTCTTGATTCATTTTTACGATAATTTGGTTGAACTGATTTCGGTACACTACGTACAGGAATAGTTTGTTCACTGCCACTTGATGTTTCCATTCGAAACTTAATAGAAAAAAATGCTTTACATTTAAAAAAAATATTTTTTTTTCGTAATACTTTTAAAGGATCTGTTTCATCAGTTGCGTCTCCACTAGCACACCACATGTGACAAAAAGTTGGCAATAAAAGTGATAGAGTAAATAAGATGCCTCCAGCTACAACTAAACATATTCCTATTGAATGACTTCTATCTAATTTTGAATTATAAGCAATTGCATCTCGATCAACAGTAATAAATTCCGGATTACTCGATGATGGTTCATCAACATTTGTATTTTTTCGAGGAAGCATAAACCCAATTAAAAGTAGAAATAAACCAGAGAGTACTAATAATGTACCAATCCAAAGAATTATTTTCCACCAACGACTAGAAAATCTTGGACGATTATACGGATTTATATGTCTAAATATAACATTCAATTAAGTTATTAAATAATTAAATTAATCCTTGATATATAAATATGAAATTTACCTATGTTGAATATCTCTTTCACGTTCATTATCACCTTGTCGATCATAAAAATTATCAAGATATGATCGAATACCAAAATATCTCATACATCCACCAACTCCAACATCCATATTTTTAAAGATTAAACAATTATCAATATAATAATTAATTACAATATTCTAAAAATAAAACGAGATTTTTGTTGCTTGACATGTCAACAATATATAGACTTACTAAAAATTATTAAAAGAGCTTTTTATTGTTGCCTATTGGTTAGTAGTATATATTATTACATCAATCTCTCATGATATATGATACCCATGAGTTGTGTCTTTCAAGTAGTCTCGTTCAAGGACTCGAGGCGACGAAAGAAAGGAAACAATATGTTTTCTTTTTCTACTTTGCAAACGACTGTGAGGAGAAGAAGAGAGAGAAAAAAAGAAGATCGTCACTTTTTTTCTTTCACTATTTAGTTCTCTCTCGCCCACATTCTTTTATATTTCTCTATTAGAATAATAGCATTGCGTGTGTATATGTGTTCAACATTCTTCCTTCACTTTTTTTTTCTCCAAAAGTCCTTGCTTTTCTTCTCATTCTTTTTATCCGACAGAACGGAAGAATTGCATCTCCTACGCCCACATTCTTCCACCCACCTATCTGATATAAATGAAAATCGCGTTTTTCTAGTAGAAGAAGCAAAAGGATCGCAATGTATGCTGAGATTTACGATTCATGTCAACTATATTTTTTACAACAAATTTTATCAGAGAGAGTACACGCACATTATTTCCTATATTTTGGTAAAAGATCGCGTGATTAATTTATACTAAATTAATTGAGATGTAGGTGTTTACGAGAATTTTTTGTTTCCGAACGATAAGTTGAATTTTGCTTTATAATAAATAATTAATGTTATTCTTTTATAACTAAATTTGTAACTTAATTAAATACGATCAAGAATTTGGAAAATATAAATTGCATTATATATATTAAAAAAAAGACTCAAAATAGATGTGTAAATATGACCATGAACAATGTCACAGCTGTTGTAGTACAAGTATAAATTGACGATGACATCATGAAAATGTTGATAAGCTAAATGCACAATGGATGAAGAAAAAAAAGAGGAAAGAAAAAATTACATTACGGAAATAACGCCATTAGAAGATGTATTTGCATTCTAGTTAGTGAGATAGATTAAGAGATAAAATGAAAATTAAGATAAGTAAAAGCTAATAAAATAATTCCAAATAAAATATTATGTAAAACATTTGAACTTAGTAGTATCATTTTATTTCTTCTATATATTTTCATGGACTGGAATACATTGATTAAAATTTTATGATAAAATACTATAATATAGCTATACATGCATAAAGTCACAGTAGCTGTCAAGGCATATTCATTATTTATTAGTATAGATTAGGCACATGCACTTGCCTCATAACGATTCATTTCACAACCTTATTAATCGCAGACGACAACATATACACTGATGACAATGATTATTAACAAAATTTTATGTTGTACTAAAAAAAAGTTTGGGTTGTAAACTAATTCATTTGTCTTACGAAATCTTATTTCCATATATATGAAGAGAATAGATTAATCAAGCATGGAATCATCGAATATCTGGGAATAGTTACAATATATTTTATTTTACATATATTTCCCTGCAGACATTTGAAAATACTCTGAATGTCTTTTTTTTGTGAAATATATGTCATAGAATTCTCTATTATATCTACACACGAAGATTATTTTTTTAGTTGGTTATATAACAGAAATATATCGCGCAATTTGCGATGAAATTTTAACTAACCGACTTGTTTGAGTTTCACTGTAGTAAGGAACAAGTCAAAAGAGCCTTTGTATATTTTTATCATCGAGAATTTAATGATGAATGTAAAAAGAAAAAATTTTAAAATTCTACGACATATTTGTTTGTTTGTTAATTCGTGCTCAATAATTTATATTGAAATGTCTGTTTATTTTTGCTTGATTATTACAACTAAACCTATATGATAATAACAATAAAAGTTCATAAAACAAATAGAAGAAGAAGAAAACGAAAAAATACACGCATATGTAGAGTCATGTCTAGACATTTTATTGACCAGTTACTGAACCAGTATTTGGATTAAAGGATCCTGGTGGGCGGTTGTCTAATGGTTTTGTTCCGATATGAGTTGTATCACCAGCCATTTTAGCCGCAGCACCAGTGCCAGTACCAACGATGGCTTTATCTTGAGGTGGAACTTGTGAAATAGGTAATGCACCACCATTATCAGCTAACCATTGACGATCAGCATCTGAAATGGCACCATTAGCATCAGTAGTTGTTCGTTTTGTTTGACCACTAAAATTCAAAATATTTCAAAGACAACGCAGAAATAAATAGAAGACTCACTTTTGAGCATGTAAGGTGATTGTACTATTTGGATGTAGACCGGGACCACCAGCATAATTAGCGGGTGTTCGTTGATATGGGCCAACGCCACCTTGTGTACTACCACCTGGTTGATTACGAACACCACTGCTGTGTTGAAGCACCTCTTCATTTGAATTATTACCTTGGCTTGAATTATTACCTGGGTTTGAATTACTACCCTGGTTTGAATTGTTACGTTGGTTTGAATTACTACCCTGGTTTGAATTGCTACCCTGGTTTGAACTATTACCTTGGCTTGAATTATTACCTGGGTTTGAATTATTACCCTGGTTTGAATTACTACCCTGGTTTGAATTATTACCTGGGTTTGAATTGCTACCCTGGTTTGAACTATTACCTTGGCTTGAATTACTACCCTCGTTTGAATTATTACCTTGATTTGAACTATTACCTTGGCTTGAATTACTACCCTGGTTTGAATTATTACCTTGATTTGAATTACTATTAGAATTGTATGAACCTGGTGGTCGATTGTCTAATGGTTTTGTTCCAACGTGAGTTGTATCACCAGCCATATGAGCTGCAGCACCAGTGCCAGTACCAACAATAGCTTTATCTTGAGGTGGAACTTGTGAAATAGGTAATGCACCACCATTATCAGCTAACCATTGACGATCAGCATCTGAAATAGCACCATTAGCATCAGTAGTTGTTTGTTTTGTTTGACCACTAAAATCCAAAATTTACAATTTATTTGAAAATATTCATGTATAGAATTAGTAAAAGAAACATTTTTTTGGAAATTTATATGATATACATGTTACTTTATTAAAGATATGTGTACAGGTAAAAGTTCATGTTCGAAAATTTCTTTTTTTATTCTCTATAACTTACTTTTGAGCATGTAAGGTGATTGTACTATTTGCATGTGGACCGGGACCACCAGCATAATTAGCAGGTGTTCGTTGATATGGGCCAACGCCACCTTGTGTACTACCAACTGGTTGATTACGAACACCACTGCTGTGTTGAAGCACCTCTTCATTTGAATTATTACCTTGGTTTGAATTGTTACCTTGGTTTTGACTCATAGTTAATGTTTTTGTAGAGTATGTAACGAGTGTTCTGAAAAGATATAGAGATATGACTAGTTTATATAATCACAAAACTCAATTAAAAATTCTAATGAATGGTGTCATCTGTTACGGTCATTTTCTACATAAAAGAAGCGATAAATAAGTTATTTTTATTGTAATTGTACTGATTTTAAATAAAGAATTATGTTGCAGTTCGAATATAAAAATAACTCACGAATATTTTTAATTGTGTCGAATCAAGAAAAAAAATGTTTTTTTCCCCCATTGTATTCATTCCAAAAGAATATTCTACACTTGATAACCCTTTAGCACAGTAGACGATAAGTTTAACAATGTTTTGCATTAATAAATCGATAACGAAAGAAAATGCTACTTACTAGAATGACGATTGAAAATAGAATGATAGATACTAAACGATAAAAAGCAGTCTTTATATAGTCATTAGGAATGTTCGAGAAGTTCTACATAATGACTATAGATAGATGATGTAGTACGTTTTGTCTGCACTGAAATATTTTTTTTATAGATCTGCGTTCTCTTTCTAACAATGAATGTATACATATATTTTATATAAAACAGATTTTTTTAACTATGTATACACACATATATCCATATATCTATATACATGCATACATATATAACATACTAAGAGAATGACACGTGACTTTTACAATATATGATGAAAGGTCACTCAGGTTATCAATTATTAGAAAAAAGTGATTGAATTTTTAAGAATATAAAATCTGATCGACGTGTAGATAATAGAATATCTTTAATAAGTAATATAAATCACGACTTCCTGAATTTTTCTATAATTTATTAATCCAATGAATTAAATGTCTTTTGTTAAAATTAATTTTCTAAAACAAAAGCGCTTAAGATCACACTAATCAGTAACAACAAAATTTGCTTCTCTTGTTAAGTTATGTAATACATGGCTATTCATCAATAGATTTTAATCCCTTTTTTTCCTTATTTTAAACAAAATAAGCATTTATTAGTATTCTTGACTAGTTGAATAAGCCCATGCTTGAGTAAATATTATTTAGACTATCAAAATCAGTTATCATATCTAGATGTAATACAGTAATTTGATCATTTTTAGCAATAGTTAATATTGTTCAATTTTGAAATTTATCTTCAATGACATTTTGACGGTGTGAGCGAGTGCGTGTGGACAGCTGCCATGACACGTGTTTCATCATTGTTAAAGGAATGTACACATGGTTTACAAAGAATTGTAATTCTATTTACAAGAATCAAAATTCTTCATTTAACTGTTATAAAATAATTACCATATAATCATTTTATGATATTATATTCATGTCTTAGTGTGTTTTTTCTATAAATAACTACCTCGACGCGTTTGAATACTGTTAGAGATCTTATCTAGTGACTATATTCTGCTATTACAGATACATGGAAAAACTAGATTGAAAAATCGTTCTTTTTCAATTTTAACTTTCTAAATACTATAAAAATAGATAATTTTCATTTTTTTTTCTTTTCCTTGTCTCAATCAAAAACAAATTGTTCATCGAAATATTTCTTCATAATCAAAGTAATTTGTCGTTGAGGTTTTCTTCTGAAAACATAAAATATTATTCAACATTTATCACAAATTTGTTTCTCTTCATTCAATTCTTTTGCCCCAATTGACTAACATTAGAAGAGAAATAATTCAACAATATTTTTATCTTCAATCTTTTTTCCTTTCAAAATAAAATCAACAAAAGAAAAGAAAGAATTTCGATCTTGAGAATGTTGATGTCAATGGTTAAATCAATTTGAAATGTAATAAAAAAGAGGGTATGGGTGTATATAGAATGTCGTACATACATTCATATGCACATGCACCCTCGAGATTGAAAAGATGTATCGTCCTAAAGTAGATTTGTGTCGCTTTCAGAAACTGGTGAAGATCATTCAGGTAAAAATAATTACAAAATTATAAACATGGCTAATCGAAATATTCAATCAAATGAAGAGATCATTGATGTAGAATAATCAGCAACGAACGAAGTTCAATCGAAAAGGTTAAGAACATTACGAAAACAACTGCATAATGATATGAGATGAAAGAAAATACGCATCATAAAAATAAACTACAATCTTATTTTTATTTCATATTCTTTACTTGTGTGTTAAACGTTGTACTCGTGTCTGATTTATCGAGTTAACGAAAATAACTTCTCTGAATAGATTCTCAAGTGCATCTTGAGCGTGTGAGTGTTCGTAATACTCTCCTCTTCATCCACCTACACATACTCACACTCATATCCTCAAGATATGTGAACACTGTTCACATATAATCGATGATAATACCATAATGATCTTAAAATTAAAAAAGATTCATTTCAATAAAACTTGATCAAAGGGAACTGTTGTCAAAAATTTCGAATTTATGGTTGTCGAATATTCAATTAACCCGCATCCAGCATAAGAACTGAAATTCTAATGCTGTAATTATGATTCATTGATATGATTATGTTTGTTTACAGAGAAGCTTCACAACATAAATATGTGTGTACAATCGAACAAAAAAGCGAAGATAGTTTACACTAAAGATTGAATTCATTTTGAGGGAAAGTGGCTGTTCTATCAAACATCGAAAAGTATTTTTGGTACTTTTTACACTTTTAGTGAACTCAAAGTCGTCAGAAATTGTTTTCAAACCGAAAATATCCTTGCGATGTTTTTGAACTCTTTCCAGAATCCTTTTTTCGGTGAATTTTGAACAGAACGAATTCTATCCAGAGTGTAAACAGTAAATCATATATAAGAATGCAACAAAGAAAATGGGAGAAGCAATCATGTATCGAATATACAAATGTACCGTTATTATGAATAGTATCTTGGATACAATTCATAAACAATCTTTACCCATGCAGGATAATACTAGTAGTGTTTGAATCAGGGATTGCAGCAACTATGTCAGGTTTGAGATCGTTATTCACATCACCCACTGCTACAAAGAACGGTCCACCATTAATTGCATAGGTAGTTTGATTAAGGAACGTCCCATTGCCTCCATTCAAAAGAACTCCGACAGCATTCGAGCCCGAATTCGCGACGACTATATCAGATTTTCCATCACTATTGATATCAGCAACATCTACTGTTCTTGGTTGAGAACCAGTAGCATAACTAACTTGATTAAAGAACGTTCCATCACCTTTGTTTCAAAAAAACTCCGACAGTATTCGTATCAATGTTTGCAACAACTATGTCAAGTTTGAGATCGTTATTAACATCAACAACTACTACTGAATTTTGTGCACTTGATTGTTTGAGAAAAATTAGCACGAGTAGAATTGCTATTCTTATCAAAGACATAATTGATGAAAAGTATCGTCACTAAAATAGATGAAAATCAAAATCAAGTATAGAACTCTCCCTGAACGAGAGGAATGAAGATAAACATCAGAAAAATGCTGCTTAGTCTCTCATCTATACTCTTACTTCTATTTTAGCTGACATCGTCAATGAATGTCCTCTTCTTAAGTGATAGATGAATACACTGAGTTTATATTTATACGGATAAACTTCAGGAGGACTGATTAGAAGTATCGTCTTGAATAAAAAAAGAAAAGAAAGTTTGTTTGTATAAATAAAAACTCACTGTAATCATCTATCAGAATGTGACTAATACTTTTAACAAACAAACATTTGAGTGAATAACAAAAAGTAACAGAAATATTTAAAATGAAGACAGAGAAGTAATTAATGAAAGAGAGATTGCAAACAAGAGAAAGAAAAAGAAACTAAATAAATAATCTATTTCTACTGCTTGAAAAATCTACGTCATCATAAAAACTTGACTATGATGATTACAAAAATAATAGAAAAAAATATCCTTTTTTAGTTCTTCAGTTAAAAACAGGGAAAGAAATGAGAAAATAAATTAACTCAGAGAAGTATAAAAAAAAATACATTGCACCTTCAAAATCGAACAACTTCCTTGATATTTGAGTTTCGTTTATTCACAATCTTGAAACAACTTCTCAACTAAAGATAAATAAATGAATGCATAAAACAATTTGCAAAAAAACAGAGAATTTACAAACACCCAATAGACTCTATTTTGAAGTTAAGGTTAAACTGAATTTATAGCTTTGATTTCATCCTTACAGAGACATGTGTTTCTCCAAAGTATTGTTCATTCACTTCTTAACCTGTTTTTAAAGTAGATCGATACAATAGATGAAAATAAAAAAAAAGATTTAAATAAATTGTTACGATTTCTGAACCAGCATCGAACTATGTAAGAATGTGTGTTTCTATACATCTTGATTATTTACAAGAAATCGTCACTACTGTATTGTTTCTCATCATATATACAATCTTCAAACATACAGTCTCACATCACATAAAAATAGTGAAGAGAAGGATCGTTCGATCAAGGTGCGATAAAGAACACTATCATCACGTACAGATAGTCATATGATAATTATTCAGTACGTCACTGTAGAAAGGAAAAACAGGAAATTATGTTTTTTTGCGATAAAGTGGATGTTGTGATGCATAAATTCAAATGATATTTTATTTTGAGTAGATTCAATTTCCTCTGCGTCGTTATTATAATATCTTTAGCAAAACAAATATCAATTAATATTTGTCAGCTGACGTCTTTCTAACATTTCATTCACATGATTTCATATCTTAAAAGAAATATGCTGTCGACTGGGTCTAGATGTGAGTGAGAAAACTGGACGGTAAATTTCATTTCGAACGTAGAGTCAATTATTAATTTTGTGCGATGATAGTGAAGTTGAGCTTGAAGACAACTTTCAGTCTTATCCAATCCCATCGTCAATCGAAGTGAAAGATAAACAACGAATTATGAGAAATAAAAACTTTTACAAACTAGAAAATGAATTTCTTTCTTTGATGTAAAAAGTGAAGATATCCAGTTTATAGAATCACATATCGGAATTTGCTTTTCATTTCGATCTTTATCACGATAGTGTCAGAGGAAGTTGATGAATCATACAAACGAAGGGTGTATGAAAAGAAGAAAAGTTCTTATATAAATTCAAGTCAACACTGATTATGAAAATAATTAAGATTTTATGTGAAAGCAACAAAAGAAACAAATATTTTTTTAATTATTTTTTATTTTAAGAAAAAATTAAACAAATGCATATATAAATACTTGTTAAATAATTGTAAAGGAGATGATAGGGGTGTCACTTTAACTTTGCTTTAACAGTTAAAGTTAAAGTTAGAACTTTAACTTTAAGTCTTAAAGTTAAAGTTCTAACTTTAAACTTTAAGCACTTTAACTAATAAAGTTAAAGTTAACGTGCCACCCATAATGTTTCCCTTATTCATTTTTGACCGTTGTCAGATTACTTTAAAATACTTTAACTTTAAATAAAGTTAAAGTGGAAAGTGTTTTTACTTTAACTTTAACTGTTAAAGTTAAAGTGTTGTACTTTAACTTTAACAGTGAAAGTTAAAGTTCTAACTTTAAACTTTAAGCACTTTAACTAATAAAGTTAAAGTTAAAGTGACACCCCTAGGAGATGAAGAAAAATAAAGGGAAAAAGACAATTAGAAATATTTTTAATAATAAACAAATATATAATGCGCAAGGCCTTTCGAATTTTTTCCAAGCAATGTATGAGGAAAATTTTTGTTAATGTTATTATAAAATGATATTAATCTATAAGCAAATTCTCCATCTTGAGGGTGTGGGTGTGAATGTAGATAACATGGCAAAACCCACACCCTCAATATGGTTGTTTCTTTTATACCATGTAATCATGATAAACAAATTAAAAATTTATTTTGACAAGTATAAAACACAATTATCTTATCTTACATGTGTTTTTCTTTTTTCGATCCTCTGCTCTTTAGATTATTCAATATATATATTAATGTAGTTTTTATAGTTCGAGAAAGTCAAATTTATCAATATATTATAAACATTCATAGTTAACAATAACAAATTAATCTGATGAACGACGCCCTTTTCTTTTGTTTTATAAATTTAAATATCGCTATCAATTTCAATGTATCTCTAAAATAAACAATGTTATCAGAGATATAAAATCAAATTGCCACATCTGTTGAACAGATAATTTATTAATTGAAATCGGTAATTTCTATGAATTCGAGTGCACGATCAACCTTCCGCGGGCTTCCTTTTCATTATTTATTTCAATGTTAATTGATTTTTTTTTCGGCTAAAAATATCATTTTTATTGAGGAGGATTTACTTTCCGTTGATTATTAGACCGTACGAAATGGGCACTGAGTATAGGCATAGCGACACATCTTGAGGGTGTGGGGGTGGGGGTGGGCGTGAGCAGTGTATTGTAATCCGACATCTACACCTATCCACACCGACATCCAAATCCTCACCTTCAAGATGCAAATTCACTCTCAATCTGTTTTCAATTAACAAATCTATTTCAAAGGATTAACGAGTACTACACATTTTGGCTTCATATTTCGTCTCAATAAAAAATATTCTATGAAAAATCGTTTTTTTTCTGTAAAAAAATATAATTACTATATTAAGTATGATGCGAAGAAAGAGCAGGTGACTTGCAGATATTTTATATAGTACTACAAAAGTAAATATTTCGAATTACAAAGCAATAAATACGCGTACCTTTTACAATATTTCTTTACTATCATCACTCTCAAGCACATCAGTATTTGTAATATCAATAAACATGTTTTTTCATCCACTTATTCTCGGCACGATCATGATGAGCCTGTTTTTTTATGTATCAGCCATATCATCAGCAGA